ATAAAAATGACTGAGGAAATAATTGACAGATGGATGCATTTATACTGTGCAGTAACATAAGCAATAACATTTTCATGAGACAAGCAAGTGATGGACTCTCCAACTTGAGCATTGTACCTTTAACAAAAAAAAATCAACCATAACATAGTGACATGCAGGTGAGGTGGAGAACACACGTCAGCACCTGCAATATATAAAGCGGCAAGTGTACATTTTGTCCACAGACTTGATGTGTAAGAAGAAGGAAAAACTGACAAATACTGTACACGGATTTGAGTTTGGTGGGAGCCTAATTGTGATGGCTTGTCAAGTAGGTCCAAACATCTCCAAAACTGGACTTTTTCTTCCAGTGGTCAGTCTGAAGCAAAATTGGTCCAAAAAAGGAATAGCGAGGTGAAGACTGACCCATGCTGCCTGATCTGACATATAGTGCCTGAGTGAAATCAATTAAACTGGACAGTGAATCACGTCACTGTCTATGAAGTGGCATATTAGGGGAGAGGATATATATTATTATGTATATCGATACTTTGAAGTAACATCAAGCTGGAAATGTTCTACATACGTTTTAAGATTGTCCAAAAACTCAAGAGAAAATACAAAATTGATTTAAACAGCACATTTTCAGGAGCCTGTGATCAATACGAGCACTCATGGTCCTGTTAAGGTGTTTGATTTTCAACAAAAAGGTGAGAGGGACTTTTCTGTGGGATTGACTTGTTTCACAGCACAAATAATCTCATCTGTTGTAGTTCCAACTAATGTCCAACTAAAGCAAAGATCAGATTAAAATCTAACTAGGCTCAAATAGAGCAATGCTTACAGATAAGCATCACATCCCCAGAAAATATTGATGACAAGAGCTGCAAATTATCAGTAATGGTTTAATTTAACTGAGTCTTTCATTCTTGTGGGGCTACCTGCTGCCTCCATCAAAATAGATAAGGTTAAGGCTTGCCAAACTGTGAAATATTCCAGGCAAAGCTTCATGGGGACAACCAGAAAAGTTATACAATACACCATCCATTACATTGTACAAGTGTTAGAGGGTTTGGGCTACAAGTTGTTATTGATATGCTTATGTTACATTCGGGTAATATTGTACTTTATCATGGTTTTGATGGATGGAGTGTAATCTAAAATAAAATGCTAAAATCTGCAGAGAGACCAACAGAGCAGTTCTAACTCTCCACCTCACATAAAGATTGGTAATATTCACAAACCAAAGCGTTACAAGTCCACTCTCCTCTTTTCTATCCAATGCTCCGAATCTCCTCTGAGGCTGATGATAACCAGGCTGGTGCCACTACAGAGCTCTCATTTTCTCCTCTCGCTAAATAAAGTGTGAATGAGCGGCTGTCGGGGAAGTGGAAATATCAAGCTCTCTGTCTCTCCAAAACACAGCGAAAAATATTTGTATGCAGCACGAGAGCTGATTCGAATGGGCCTCTCTGTGATGAACGTGCCTCCTTGTGTGGACCCACAGAGCCCCCCCCCAGGACCAGACTAGCTCTTTCAGTGATGGATGAAACACCTCAAAACTTCAGGAGAAAAGAACAGAGAAAGACCAATCGCCATGGTGATTAACTCTCTTTCTGTCTTCTATCTGTTGGAACAAATCATCCAAGACCGACCGACCCAAGGCGTCTCTGTAAAGGGGATTAGGAGAGGCTCACGTTGCCACCGATCGTCTGTCCATCTAGTGCTCCCCGTGGGTACAAGAAGTGAAAGGAATAATGTCTAATCACGGCTCTCATTAGAATGGCTATAATTACTATATCTACCACTTCTTATATTTTGAGGTTTCCTCTGGCTATACTATTTTTCCCATTTTTATACATGCACCATACATGTAAAGGCTTAAAATTCCCATATTACATAACATTCATTCTTATAACGTTTTTCCCTCCTCAAAAACATACCTGCAGTTGTGTTTTGTTTCTTTCATACATGTTTGAATAACCCTTTATTATTAATCTGTCCACATCCCCAGAGTTCAAAATGTTCTGTTTCACCTTGTGATGTCATGAAGCAGTAGTTTTCAAGTTAACAGCTACCATTTACCTTTAGTTCAGAAGAAATTGGCAATTCAAGGGATAAAATAATCCAAATGATTCTGATGATTTAAAAACACAGTGGGGTTCTTCCAATATTTCCACATGACATCACAAGGTGGAACAGAGTGTTTTCCATGTGAGAAAAGAACTCAGGGCCTGTTTACAAAAGAACGCTTGCAGGTAAAAACTACAAAATATTTTATTGGAGGTGCTGGTGACAACGCTTTGGAGTCTTAAAAATACACAAATCTGAAACCACCCTCCAGAGTGGAAAAGTTGAATATGCTCCGCTGTAGTGTTTCAGTCTACGCTGCCCAAGATGCAAAACTCTGGTTTGATCTGCTCACCTTGCGTACTCGTTTACGTCACATACATCACCGCCTAAAATCACCACCTAGCCGCCTGGCATGCATTCCCAATCGAATTCCACACACTTTTGCGTCACTGTATACACGCAGATTTCCTCCCAAAAACGCTCATCTAAAATCTTGTCTAAACGTGGAATAAAAAGTGAAGACGCGCCGCCACTTTTGCGTCTTCTGTTCAGAGCGTCATCATATAAACGTAGCCTCAGCCTAAATATGCAGGGTTGGTATGTTTTTGATGAGGAAACAATATTAAAACGTAGATCAGAAAATAAAGGCCCTTTAATCATCCAGGAACTCATGAAGCATTCTGGAATACGATCTGGAAAAAAAGTCCTGCCAATATGCAGATTACAAATTTATTTACAGGGACACTGAAGTACACCTATTAACAACAGCTGGTCTTACAGAAAGTGTTCTTTAATCCTAAACTATTAATCACATTTTACAACTACTGTTACTTAAAACTTTGCTTTGCTCCTATAAATTCTTTTAATTAGTAGATTTTATGTCATTCCCAAGTCTTTATAATTGCAGGGGGTTATGCCTGGCAGGCCATTTGGCTTAAACCGTTGCCAAATATGCAAACATTGTAATTAGCATATACAAATGTGCAATTGACTGTGCACACAGAGCGAGTGCATTTGACATGGCCATCCCAGATACATGAAAAAAGCAAACATGTAGTTCGTTTGTTGCTTTGGTGCCAATGCTTCATAATGAAAGCTTATGTAACTCTATCTTAACCACCTTCGCCGTGTCCTTCAAAACAACAACAGACTGATGAGCTGAAGAGACATTTCCTCCACTCTCTGCATGCACCAGGCTGAGGCGAGCCGAGCATAAGGGACACTGGATTAAAAGATTTATGCTACAAAGTACTGCATACTTAAGTGCATTCGAGCAAACGACAATGGGCCGCACATTTGAACACAAGAGAGCGACTCCAGTTAGAAACACAAGATAACTAGCTCAACACAGACACTAGATAAGCTCTGTCTTTACCACCCGAGCACTTTCATCATAATAAAAGAAAATGTTCTTTATATAGCTTTTTGTGAACAGTCTGCCACCTGCTTGTCTTCGTAGAGATATTGTCATTGCCTAGAATGTTCCACCACATGGAATTAAACTTATTATCTACACAATAGGTGATGCCACCAGACCAAGTTACAGGTCAGGTTTGTGTATTTATGCTTAATGTGAAACTGTGAACACTCCAGGCAAAGCAGTAACATCTTCATGGACGCTCCCTACCAGAAAAAGTTACATAATGTACGTTTTATAGAAATCAAGTGTACAGTAATGAAAAAATGTAACAAGAACCATCCTTGAACATTTCTGATCATGCAGCATTCATAGCATTATTATTTAATACAGAGCAGTGGTGAATGTTTAATATGTAGTGTTTGTAGCAGTTGGTCATAGCGAGATAATGGAGCTTGTGCATTTGTGAATAATCCTTTTGAACTCTTGAGTCCATTTAAATCAATACAAGATTACTCATTCCTTCCCTCCATCTGAGAGTATGACACCAACACATTTGTGCATCAGATCATCGCAAATCATTTCTATCATACTGCACTCAGAATTCAGGCTATTTCTTTTCAAATCTAGAGATCAATAGAAAAAAAAAGGCGCTGTACTTGATTTTTATTGTCTTAAAAACATGAAAACTAGTTCATTTTAAATGGGTTGCAGTGGTCCAAAGTTATCCCTCACTTCACTTCTCCTCCTTAGTGCTTTTCACAACTCTCAGAGACCAAAGTTTTGCCCTGAGTAAAGCTAAAGACAACTAACATGCAAACACACACTTCCTGACTATTGGATAATACAATGCTTTCCAGTTAGATGCAGACAGTGCACAGTGGAATTATTTTGACCTCAACAACTGCTTATACAATATATCTGTACTGGGGTAAAACAATATTTGCTCAAATACATGGGAAAATTCAGCTACAGGCTCTTTCAGACAAACAGAACCTTCCTGAATATGGATGTGTGTTTTGTTCTGAGCAGAATATTACGGGTCTGAAATATTTGTAGCAGCATCTGGTGATAAACATGGCCTTAGAAGAGGGTCAGTGTGATTTCATTGTTCATCGTTTGCAATCTAATGTGTTTTTAATGAGAAATTGACAAGCAGCTTGACAAAAAAAAAAAAAAAAAAAAAAAGAAAAGAAAAGAACAGTAATGATATGCAAATACAGATGTAGCTATATGCTTAAACTTTAAATACACTGTTGTTTTACTCAACCAGTGCCTAAGCTATACTTTACCTCCTGAAGTCGTTTTAAGTCATGCTGCTGATTTGATTTCCTTAGAAACATAATTGGAAAGCAATGCAGCCAGTCAAGCATTGAGTGATCAGCTAAATGGGAAAACCTCTCCCCATGAGAATTGCATTGTAACTGCATTGTTCTAGCAATGTAACATTAATTGCCAGTACCTCCCACTTCATACCCCCCTCCCTCCTCTCTCTCTCTTTTCTTTTTCTATGACTTCCTCCCTCCCTCCCTCTCACTTCTTCACACAGGACAGTATTTTTGGGAGAGGGGGGAAAGACCTGTGTACTCACCTTTCAGCTCCTCAGTGGAGATACTGGTGAGCTGGAAGGATTCGTTGCCCTCGGCCAGGGAGTTGCTCAGGTAGTTGTCTGGATAGAGCAGGCCCGCCCGCACATGGTGGAACGGCATCTTCTCCCTAAAGACAAAATACAAACATGAAGGTGAGTCCACCAACAATATTTTTCAAGTTTTTTGTTTTTTTTTTGTTTTTTTTGGGGGGGGACTCATAAAAACAATCACTGTACAAATGCATGCAGGATAAGTAGAATGCCATACTGTGGAACATTCCAGGCAACGCTGTTATTGTTCATAGAGACAGGCAAGTGGCAGACCTTCCCCTAGAAAGTGTACACAGTGCCTCTACAGAGTATAACTTAAATTGCACAAAATAAACAATGTAGAAAATAACAATGCACATTTTTTCCCACTGACTTACTTAAGATGGGTCACCACTGACAGGTTTGCGTGTGACTTCAAATGAAATGGTTAAATGCAGAGAACAAATTTCCCTATGGACACAATATAAAAGACAGGGCTGAGTCAGGGAGGATATTCATTGCTAAGACTTACACACCTAATCTTGTTTGTACTGACAAATGATTTATTATAGCAACACTGGAACAGAATGAGGAGTAAGTTACATATAAGATGACATTTTACAATTTTATTATGTGCCATACATATATAGCAGTCTTGTATCTTAAATGAAGTGTGTTAATCCCTTGACAATACACCTAAACATCATTAAAACTGAATATGTTTCATCCTTACAGTGTCCTCTCTGTAACACAGTGTTAGTGTCTCTACATTAACTGGGATGCTAAGTGAGGCCCATGTGCGTGTGTTAAATCCCTGGTGCTGTCTGAAGCCCCATTTAGAAACCCGCACATTGTATCTCAGTCTTTCTTCCTTTCATTTCTGGAGAATCTGCTGCTGTCTCCTCGTGCCACACTGACAAATTATGTAATCTCTCCATAATTCAAGGCTGTCTCATAAAAATATATTCCACTGTTATTGTTCAGATAAATAGCAGGCCGTTCAATCATGAGGTTTTATCGAGCGATCTTTCTTGTGGTTTCTGTCTTGATATGGGGCAGCTGTCAGCGCTTCATCGGGCTGTATCTACGGACATGTGTTGTGTCAAGAAGAGCAAATATTGGCCATCAATAAAGCCTGTCCTACTGAGACCTATCCACCCAGGTTTATTTAATACATGTACAAGGGAGCAAATAATAATACAAAAAGCATGTTTCTTTATATGTTAAAAGGTTTTAAGATAACCTAATTGAATTACGTTACTACATAATTCGTAAAGATTAAGGATACATTCAGTTTTGCACACACTACAAAATTTTGCCTGGGACCTAGAAAATATTCTTTTCCAACACTTTACAAAGATCGGAGTGTCCGGTGAATTTCCTTGAGTTCAGATGGGCGTGATTGACAAGTGGATTAACCAATGCATGGTCTGTCCATTTCAAAACAAATTTGGGTGCTTATGAGGGGAAAAATGAAAAAATATATATATCATAGGGGATAGAAAAAACATCACAGATTTCTGCAGTAATCAATGAGCAAAGCTCTAAACTCTGTCTGAGGTGAGAAAAGTGTGATTTTAGCCAAAATGATGGGTGTCCAATGAGCTCCTTCATTTCAGATGCGTCACATGCACTAACATTTGGTTCTGGCTCGAGACACAACAGAGGGTGTGGTGACCAGACTGATATCCTGTATAAAATACAGAGAGAAGTCATTCTGAATTTGCCAGGCAATCAAAACTGGGATCAGAGTGAGACTAAACTCATAACCAAACCATCACCAGGAAAGGACAGGATTACACTAGAAAAACAAAGTTGGAGCATCCACCACCTGCTTGTTACCATGGATTGTATTGCTTGACTTAGAATGTTCCTCAATATGACACTAAAAATGAATCTTTATGAAGACAAGCAGCTGACACCACCAAATCAGGAGAAATGAGCTCTTTCACATAAGAATCTGTGTTTTACAACTCAATAAATAAAATAATCCGTGAATAAGTGAAGTCCCCCATCCCAAGTGGGCATAGGGCAACTCAGAAGACTTACATAAAAATACATTTACAAATCTGATGTGTTTTATTCATTCTTGTGCTCTTCTATCCGTATGGAAGTGGTCTTTTATTATTATGGTTATATAATGTTACTATTCTTAGACTGTATGCACATTCTGTAACTTAATTTTAAAAATGGACTCACTTGAATGTCTCTAAGATCATTTTTGTTTATAGCTCATGCCTATTGTTTTTCTGTTCCAAAACAATCTTTTTTTTGTTTTTTTGTTTTGTATCTGCATTCCCACAGTCAGAGTTCATTCCTCCTTAGGAAACGTTTTGTGGTCCATCTGGACACATTATTCTTCATCATCATTAACAAAACACCGGGATAAAGATCTATGGCATCATCACATTTATAGATACAGATCAGTTGTCAGATTTTTTTTTTTTTTCTGGTCAAAAGTCTTCAGTATTGATGCCTTTGGTGTGGAATGAGCTGAGGTGAGCTGAGGTGAAGAGATAGAGACAGCAGAGGAGATCCCTGGAGCACTGTGCTGAGCGAGTGGAAGGAAAAAGAAAATAATATATATGGATGTTTCTTGAAGCATTCACAGTAAGAGGCAAGGTGTAACATTTTATTGTACGTGGTTTAAATGGACCAGATGGGAATACTGATGCTGCTTTTGCACAATTTGGTTACTTTTTGTCGATTTGAGTTTGATTTTTAGAGAGAGCAACAAATGACTGCAAATGAAATCCAATTCAATGGTCGTTTTACTGATTAGAAAGCCAGTAGTTGTTCTAATAAACATTGAATAAAGTGCTTCAGGAACGCTACACAAAATGAGAACAGGAAACTCCAATAGTTTAACCAACAAAATCTGCAACAAGCGCCTTTGCTAAAATAGTAGTAGTCACAATCTCCCAAATTTTGTGGTTATTTGAATACTGTAACTGCTTTTCTGCTTAATATTGTCATTGTGTACCTTTTTGTTGGAAAGCCACTTGGTTGTTTCTATAGAAATATTTGCTTTGCTTCATAGAAAGAGATGGATTAGCTCAAGGGGCCATCCTTAAAGGTCCCCTACTACACAAAATTGACTCTTCTGAGCCTTAAGCAATGTTATGATGTTGTTAGCTCCTCAAAAACATACCTGGAGTTGTGTTTTGTTTCATTCACATATGTTTGAGTAACCCTCTTTTATTAGTCTGTGTTCATCTCCAAAGCTCAAACTGCTCTGTTCCAACTTGTGATGTCATGAACTGGTAGTTTTTAAGTTAACAACTAGCTTTTTCCTATAGTTCAGTAGACATAGGCAAATCCAAATGATTCCAGTGAAGGTGTATGGAGTTTAAAAACACAGTGGCGTACTTCCTGTATTAACACATGACATCACAAGGTGGAACAGGGTGTTTTCTGTTTGAGAGAAGAAGTCTGCCTAAATATACAGAATTTGTGTTTTAAACATTTGTGAATGAAACAAAACACAACTCCAGGTATGTTTTGATGAGGAAACAACATTATACCATAGGTAACAACCATTAAACTCATCTAACAATTCATGTATTTCAAGATATTTTCTTTATTTGAATGAATGGAAAAAGCCTCCATTGAAACCCACAGGTGAAGGACTTGCACCTGGTGTCCACCACAACACAGCAATAGCGTGTTATTATTCCCCACCTGTAGGCTACATAAACACAGATGGTATTCTACAATCACGTCGTACAGGTGCTACTGTTTATAGTTTTGACTCATATTGGCCCCATCCCAATTCTGTTTCCTCGTCTCCTCGCCTCCTAGTCTCCTTGACTTCTCAATTCCTCAGTAGTAAATCCTGCCCGTTGTGGAGAGAGGGTCATATAAAAGAGAGACATTTCTAATTGGCTCTCTCGACTCAGTGCACATGATTGACAGCTGAGGAATCAAGGAATCAGGGAGTCGAGCAGATGAGAAAACAGAATTAGGATGGGGCCGCTGCTGTATATATTAAGGAATAAGCGATTATGTATGTGTAGTCCGTGTCTAAGTGCTTTACATGTTCCCCCTGTTGGTCACACTAAGATAATTCCATGCATGTGATTTCATAATGGTCTGACTAATGAAATAACTGACCATAATTGACATCTCTACATGCACCAGTGGATTCTGATTACTCCTGTGACCTTCTTCAATGGCACCCTCCTGTGAGAACTACTTTATATCACTTCAGATACTGGGAACTTGCAGCCATAACTCTGCACCAAACTTAATAGATCATTTGCTGTTTTGCTGTGACCTAGAGGGACAGAAGTTTGCACCTTTCTGTCAAGGCTGAAACTAATCAACGCCCCCCTCTTAAATTTGAGATCTGAGTCCTTGGTGAGAGCGGTGCCAAGGGAAAAGGCAGTTTAAAAGGTTAGGGGCCTTGGGGATGAAGTAGCTCTGTTTCAGTGATCTGCGAGGGATATCAGATGTGAAAATGGTTGTGTGTGTGCGTGTGTGCTGTAGAGACAGATGAGAGCAAACAGAAGCAGTGTGTACGTGCCAAACTCAGAGGAAAAGTATTCTTTGGCCCATCTGCCACTGGTCCTAAAGTCGTCCCACCTGCACATTCAAATTACCCAGGTCACCACAGCAAGACAGATCGGACGACAGACTCATAGACTGCATAAAGAAGTGGACTAAGTGAGTGTAACTTCACCCATAGCATTCGGCTCCATTCAAATGAAGCTCATCACGGCTGGCAGTTAGATGAGCAAATTTAGAGCCAAGTTTCATAATAGGAATAGGAATTTATTTACAGACAAACCAGTAAAATAAAAACAACAGGATCATGTAGAGTTGGTTGAAGGGGCAGTTCGGAATTTTGGACCTAGGGCCTAATTTCCTAGTGAGCCAGAGTGTTGGAGATGTGTGGAGACACTTTTTGAAATAATCCATCCAGTCCTTGTTTTTCCAGAGGTCGCTGGTGCTAGGCTAGTGCATGTCAATGGCCATAGTTGGTCTGCTACTAAAAAAAATTCTTACCCACTCCACAAAGCACCTGAAGCAAATCTATTATTACACCAGACTATTAATGTAAATGTCTGTGTTGATAGAATAATGTTTGAA